CAAGCAATCTGAAATAATGAAAATAATCCAGACTTTCATCTGGCCACCACTAACGAAAAAAATTTATCAGTGAATTGATGCAGAATGTTTGACGCAAAGCTTAGTGCTGAAACAAAAAATTACTTGTGATGTTAACACATCTTTTAAAAACTCCCTACTCTCAAGTCAATTTGAAAAGTTAGGAATATTTATTTCAGATTCAATTTTTATCATTTTATCTATGAAGATACAATTTCTTATTTTTAGTCATTCCTGAATATTAAAACTGTCTTCATTAGGTTTGTATATAAAGGGAAGAGTTCAGTGTAAGGTTTTGCTTTTAGATGTATATATAAAAATAGTCTAAGAAACCACCCAAAACATTAGGAATAGAGGGAAAAATAGGAGAAAAGATCCCAGCAGTATAAAGGCACAAAGAAGCAATGAGAAAAGCAGCAGAAATATACATATTAATAGGCTGAACAGTTCTTTGGTGTGCTCAATGACTGGTTGCTAACTGTACTTAATCTGCAGAAAAGACTGCCTAAGCCTACAGTATTTTCATTAGTCCTGGATCACTTGAGCTCCTTGTAGCATATTTATTTTTATCATTATCAAAACAAATTGTTTAACCAATTTATTGATTAAGGGCCTTCCTTATAACACTGGGGGCTTCAAATGTTGATTGCCTCTTATGTGGTAAGTGACTGACATATTAATTCTTCCAGTTTTACTGAAATTCACTTTAAAACAAGAACTGAATACCAAAGACTTAAACTGTTACAAGTCCAAATAATAATAATTTTCATTGTTTTAATACTTACTGCTTTTACACAAAAGTAGTGATTTATCCTCCTCCAGAGGTGGAAGGAGACCCCAGAAATGATATTTGACCTAATTGTGATAAAAATTATACAGCACTGCAAAAGTGGGTCAGCATTTTATCATTTACAATTCTAGGTCAGGCCAGCATTTTCTAACCAGTTTCTACTTGTAAATTTATAGGTAACACTATTTGCTCTTAGAATAGAAAACATGGAAATGCAGGAATAAATGAAGCCTGTATGTAAATGTGCAAACACTTGCCCCACACAGGTGACCACAGGTGATTACTAACATCCATTAACACACAGAAATATTAACATTTTCTTTTGGTGTTGTTAGCACCTAAGAATAATCTTTGTTGCTTATTGTAAGGCAGCACTGAAATTGTACCAAATACACAAATTATCTTGGTTTCAGATGAAACCAAGAAACCAGGATTGCTTAATGTTTTAATGTTAAATAACGGTCTCTCAACATGAGTGCCTACTAAACATTTGGATTATTTAGGAAATTATCCAAGTATATAAATTTGTTCTTGGATAAATCCATTACCTCTACATAGCAGTTTAATTTCAATTGTAAAATGAGGAGCTAGAGTAAATAGCCATTTGATCTTACTGGTCCTCTTTCAAATGGTAGAGAGACCTTTCCTACTTCCACTTTCCACTTAAAAGAACTTTCATGGCTATGAGGAAAGCTACAGTCCAGAGAAAAGCACCTCAATTCTGTTCTCCATTGGCAACACAGATGGTCATTTGCACTTAGTTTCATCTCACTGTCATGGTATCTATAATGCATTTACTGTGTTTGTATTGTTTAGTTTCTGAGCGATTTTATGAACGCCACAGATCTAAATATAAAGCAACAAGGGGATCAAAGGTGTTAATAGGAGAAAGCATACATAACTATGGTGAGCAGTAGGCTTAAAAAAATAAAGCAAAAAATACTTCACATGTTGTTCATAATTTGATAAGACAAAAGTATTCCAAAGGACAAAGTGCAACTCCTGTTATGAAGAAAAGTGTTCTGACCATGAAATCGGAAATGTGGCATGAAGCTTGGCTGTTCATAAGAATCACTTGGAGCTTTTAAAGACTATCAATGCCCAGATTTGGACTGAATTGGTTGGGCATTGAATTTCCCAAAGTCCTTTCCACTACACGTTATTTCTCTTTATCATCTCCGACAACACATTGAATTTGCTTATTTAATAATCTCCCCCAGTGGACTGTGAACTCCTTTAAGACACCGGGCAAGACTTTGTATCCTCAGACTTGCAATCATTTGAGGACTAGCTAACTGCCATTGTGATGTAGATATCAAAAGACCTGGTTATCTACTTCAGAAACTCTAGCTAGAAAGAAATAAAGGTCACAAGGTATTGCTGTTTTCTGCTACGCTGGAGGGATACTGGAGATAATATAAAGGACTGTAGACCCCAAATGAAATCCAGGAGAAAACAGAAGAAGGGAAGGTTTCTTATGAAAAGATGAAACTTGAGATACATCTTGAAGGATGTTAAGAGCTAGGGAGAACAAGGCATTCTGAAGTTCTTAAAAGTATTCATTCACGGAGCGCCTGGGTGGCGCAGTCGGTTAAGCGTCCGACTTCACCCAGGTCACGATCTCGCGGTCCGTGAGTTCGAGCCCCGCGTCGGGCTCTGGGCTGATGGCTCAGAGCCTGGAGCCTGTTTCTGATTCTGTGTTTCCCTCTCTCTCTGCCCCTCCCCCGTTCATGCTCTGTCTCTCTCTGTCCCAAAAAAATAAATAAACGTTAAAAAAAAAAAAAATTAAAAAAAAAAAGTATTCATTCATAAGTGATATAGTTATCAGATTGTGTTCTAGTAGTTGTAAATAATTATGGCTGATAAACCTTTTATGGCTGTGAAATTGCATTTTAAAAATGGATTCGTTAAAATACAGTAATTCAAATTTAAGTCATGATCACTGAGTTACCTCACAAATACACAAGTTGAGGTGCAAATTCAAAAAGGAACTTCACTGTGTAGCTCTTCGAACTACAGGGTACTTGCTTTCTCAAAAATGCTGACATTCTAAGCTCAGAGGAACAGAGCAGGAAAGAAATACTAACCACCTGGCAGTTGTTTCTATTATCCATCCATGTAAGATTGGCATACTTGAGAGCAACAAATCACTAAGACATACTTTATCTTCCATTATGTTGTTTTTATTACCAACAGCATGAAGATTTCTGGCATCTGGATATTAAAATAAATTTGAGTCCTGGCTCTACTAAGTGTACAATCCCAAGCAGGTCAGTCTCCTTGTGTTTGACTTCCTTCACCTGTAAACATCTACTCAGACATTATAGGCTTGAAATAAGACAGTGCTTATAAGTTGATTTTTTGAACACAGCCTGGCATACAGCAAGTGCTAACGAGAGCTATTCTTGTTACTTTTGAAAAAACAAGTATGGCTAGACAGTTTAAATAGTGATGATCTTAAACACATTATCTGTCTTGCTATTAGCTAGATCATAAGACACTAAGATGATGAAAATAAAAGATCTTTGACTTGTACTAAGAGTAAAATAACTCAACCTTAACATCTATGAAGCTATGCAAGAATTAAGAGTAACTGTCTCTAGGGCCACTTGGCTGATTCAGTAGGTAGAGCATGTGACTTGCTCTCTGGGTCTACCCTGCATTGGGGGTAGAGTACTTAAAAGAGTAACAGACTCTACCATTTTTAAATTGAAAAAATGAAGATTTTCTAAGTTCAGCAACAGTTCACTAATGGCAATCTTTAAGAGCAACTGTAGGGCCACCTGGGTGGCTCAGCCGGTTAAGACTCTGAATCTTGATTTCGGCTTAGGTTATGATCGCAGGGTTTGTGAGTTCAAGCCCTTCGTCCAGCTCTGCGCCAACAGCACAGAGCCTGCTTGGGATCCTCTCTCATGCTCTCAAAATAAATAAGTAATTTTTAAAAAATTAAAAAAAAAAAAAGAGCAAGTGTATTCATCCGATTGTGTGGTACAGAGGGAAAGAAGCTGGAGTAAATTCTTGGCTCAGGAATGAATAACCTCCCAATAAACTGCCATCTCCTCTGTAAGTGGTAATGTTCTCCAGGCAAGACCCTGTGATTTATGCCCCATCTATAATCAAAGTAGTTGGAGTAAAGCAAGAAACAATTAACGAATTTTCGATTAAATGTCTAAGGGTTTAGTATTGTATGGGTTTCTGCAGGAACTTCTGGAACATAAGCTCAGCAACTTTCACCCCACAATAGCTTTTTTTGAGTCATGGTTTCTTTTGATACTATAATCAAAGACATGCATCCTTTCCCCAGAAGTATGCTCATAAATGCAACATTTGGCCTGTGGATTTAATTAAGTGCACCATGAGGTCCTGGTGTAGAAGCTGCTGGCATTTACTATAACAAAAGTAAAATGGCTTCAGATATAGCTTGAGAGATTTCACTATTACTACTACATCTTTCCTCCCACCATGCTGGCTTTAACTCTTTTTCTCTGCCTGGAGATGTAAGCATTTCTTTTGCAAACTCTCATGACTCGTTTTAAGCTTTCCTAAGAGGCCCAAACTATCAAAGGAATCTGTAATAACACAAAATAATACATAAAACTTTAAAAAGGTGTGGGGAAGGAAGATCCCAGGCCAGGCACTACCTCAAGTACATTCCTGCGAAAAACTGCTTCTGCAGAGATCGCCAATCATTTAAAATCTACTGTTTGTAAAAGAGTATCGTTAAGACTGAAAGAATGGAGTAAAAGGGGCCTGAAAGGTCACTAACCCAACAGACAAAAATTAAGGTGTGGGCCAGGCCCGTGGGGCATTAGAGGACGCAAAATAACAAGCGAGAAGTTGAGAAGCTCCATGTCTCCTAGAGTCACTGACCACAAAGAGTACATTTAAATGATTGGGTTAGGCCAGACCAGCGAATTCCTTTGAACCAAGTCAGAAAAGTGGACTCTGCGGGAGAGGCTGGGACCGGCGGCCGCGGGGTCTTTCTTGGGCGGTGGGCCCCGGTTCTCCGTGTTGGGCTTGCAGGGGCCACATGGTTCCCGGGCCTGTGCATCTTCCGAGCCCGGCAGAATCAAGCTAGTGACTGAACTCCCTGGCCCGCACACCCAGGGCCGCCGTCCAACCCTCCGGCCCTAGCTCGCGCCCACTACCCCTTCACAAAGCTCAGCTGCGACCCCACAGCCCCAATTCTTACCATAGTGAGGCCGGCGAAGCCCCAGCCACATCACCCTTCCGGGCGCAGGGCGGAAGAGGCGTGTCCACCCCACTTGCCCTTCTCGGTCCCTCCCCGCGTTCGGTTGGGCCTGTCAGGGCACCTCCTTCTGAGCCGCGCGACCCCGACACTAGGATAGGTTCCTCGCAACCGGAAAAGGCAGGAGTTAAGAGACGTCATGCGCTTCGGCGGAAGTGGACGACACTCTCATTGGCTGCGGGTCGTCTGTCTGTAGGAGCGGGCCTTTTGGAGGAGACCGGAAGTGGAGCGAATGAGAGGTAGTGTCCGGAAGTCGGGGCTGCGTATTTTAGTAATAGTAATCTGTAGTCCTGTCCTTTTTTTGTTTCGCTTTCTTTTTTATTTTTAGTTGTCTGTTATTTCCCTGTAGAACTCGGTGTTTGGATTTTTCCCAGCTCGGATCCCTCTCACTGTATGCTCCTGAGACTTCGGTTTACGGACTCTTGGGGGACGCCTGGGTTCCCTAAACTTGGGCGCAGGGCGTGCATCTGCCACGCCCTCTTTTCAGTTTCTTCCTTTGCACCTCAGGGATTCTTTAGAGTTAAGAGCGCCTTGGAAAAGCCTTGTATTGGTTGTGGGATTAGGAAAACACTTGAATCTGGAGTATTGTGTTAAGTAGGCTGTTGGACGTTTTTCTAACGCTGGCCGCGTCTCTCTCTGTCTCCCAATTCCCAGCTCTTTGTAAACTGTCCATGGGTTTCACCTGGGACCGAAGTGTACTAGTCCCTTTGGGTCAGGAAAGAAATTTCTGTAGTAACAAATGGAAAGGAACTGCCCTTTCCTAAGTTCAGTAGTTCTTTGGTACTCTCTTTTAATCAGTAGTATTATTTAGCTTCAGTTTTTTTTTTTTAAATTTTTAATAATGTTTATTTTTTGAGAGAGCGAGAGCATGAGCAGGGGAGGGGCAGAGAGAGAGAGAGAGAGGGAGAGAATCCTAAACTGGCTGCAGGCTTTGAGCTCCAGCACAGAGCCTGAAGCGGGGCTCAAACCCTTGAACCCAGAACCGAAATTGGACGCTTAACCCGCTGAGCCACTCAGGCGCCCCTAGCTTCTTCTAGTTTTGATAATCCCATTTGATGAGGCTGTATTATCCCTCCGTTTTTGTCTTTGCATAGTAGATAAAGAAACAGGTGTTTTGAAGTGTTCAGGTTGCATAGTTCTTGGAAACTCAATAAAGGTTTTTGAATTAAATTGGTATTGCTTTTTACCACTAGGCTGCCCCCCCCCAACTCCTTTTTATTTTGTATCTAGTATTGATGTTAATGATTTCCTTTTGTATGATTTCCTTTTAAAATACACTGGTGGTAGTTGTGTATGATAAAAGACCGTGGTTTTACTTAACTGCTTGTTTTCTCTAACCCTCAATAGCCTTCCTAATTTAAGATTAAGGTTCTTTGTGTTCTGTTTATTTTTGTCCTTCTCCCCCCACCCCCGTCTTTTTTATATTCTTTCCCCATGGCCCTTAGTTTAAGACCCATGTTTGACTTGCATGTTATTTCTTTTACTTAATTTAAGAAATGTTTCTCTTAACCTTTCTCCACTTCTAACCCTATTTATTTCTCTTCTGAACAAAAATCCTCCAAAGACTTCTTTATATTCTCAATCCGAAGTGCTCTTTTTAAAAGTGTAGCTTTTACTCCCATTCTTCCCCCAAATGCTTGTTATTGTCACCAGTGATCTCCAGGTGTTGATCATTCCCAGTCTTTATTGTGTTAGGCCTATCAGCAACCTTTAACACAATTAATCACTTCTTCTCCATGATACATATTTTTTTTTCACTTGATTTCCAGGACATCCCACTCTTTTGGTTTTCTTTCTACCTTATTGGTTGTTCTTTCTGTCTTCCGTCTACTCTTCCTGATCTCATATTGTTGAAGTGTTCTTAGGCTCACTCTTTGGTTCTGTTCTTTTCCTCTTCCTACATTTTTTTTTTTTTTTTGATGATATCATCAAGTCTTAATGACTTCAAATACCATCTGTATACTGAAGACTCCCAAATTTATATTCCTAGTCCCCCCCCCCCCCCTTTCTGAACTCCAGACTCAAGTATCCTGTTGTCTACAACAGGATTCTTTAAAGGTATTGCAAACTTACATGTTACAAACTGAACTCCTTTTCCTCCAAAACCTGTTCCAATCTTTCTCACCTCAGTTGATGGCAACTCTGTTCAGCCAGTTGCTCAAAGTTAAGTATTTGGAGTCGTTCTTGACCCTGCTTTGTCTTCTAGTCCATCAAATCCATCAGTGAGTCTTTTGTTGACTCTCTCCATAAAATATATCTAGAATTTAACCATTTCCTACTATTTCTGCTGTTAGCACATTGATCATCTCTTCCTTGGATGTCTGTTATTAGTCATTATGATTTGTTGCTTGGATTAACAGTAATAGTTCTAGCTGGTCTCTCTGCTTTCTTCATTCCTTGCTTCTTTGCAATCTATTCGCACGCAATAGCCAGAATGATACTTTTAAAATATAGGTGAGAAATTGTATTAAAATGTGAGATTCTAAATGCAATGTGTTATCTTAGATTGGATCCTGGAACAGGTAAAAGATATTAGAGGAAAAAAAATGGTAAAATCCAAATAGTCTAGAGTTCAGTTAGTAGTGATGCACCAATGTTGCTTTCTTTGTTTTAATGAATGCACCATGGTAATATAAGATGTTAAGATTCGAGGAAACTGGGGCAGGTGTATATGGGAACTCTGTGTTATTTTGCAACTTTTGTGTAAATTCAGTATTACTCCAAAATAGAAAGTTTATTAGAAGGAATGTGAAATTACTTCTTTGCTTGAAAACGTTTCATGACTTCTCATTTGATTCACAGTAAAAGCTAACATCCTGACATTGGCCTACAAAACTCTACACGATCTGGTTTCCCATCACCCTTGGTATTCTCTCCTCGCCTCACTCTGTCTCAGCCATATTGGCTGCCTTGTTTCTTCAGTATACCAAGCCCACGGCTACCTTAGGGCCTTTCCACCAACTGCTTCATCTGCTTGGAATGCTTTTTCCCAAACATCCAAACAACTAAATCTTTCATCTCCTTTATGTATGTGCTCAAATATCACCCTTTCATGAAAGCCTACCTCAACTTCCTTTAAAAAATTGCAACTTTGCCTCTTTAAAATTAAAAAAAAAAAAAAAGAAACAAAAAATTTTAAAAAAAGCGGGGGCTCCTGGGTGGCTCATTTGGTTGAACATCTTACTCTTGATTTCGCATCAGGTCATAACCCCAGGTCTTGGGGTTGGGCTCTGTGCTGAGCGTGTAGTCAGTTTAGGATTCTCTTTCTCTCCTTCTGCTCCTGTACCCCTCTCTCCTGCTTATGCTCGCATTCTCTCTCTCAAATAAAAAAAAAAATAATAATAATGAAAATAAAACCTTTAAAATTGAGGCTTTGTAACTATCCCCCTTTCCCCTACTGGCCCCTATACTCCCAGTTTTCTCTTGTTTTATCCTCTCCTTTTGCTATAGCTTATCACCATGTTGTATATTTTACGTGTTTTTTATTGTTTTTAATCGTTTGTCTCCTATTAAACCGTAAGTTTTAAAAAGGCAAGAATTGTTATCTGTTTTGCTTCCTTATGCCAAGTTCTAAAACACTGTCTGATGCATACAAATGTGCATGTTTTGGTTAAATGAATGGACTTGACTGGTTATTTGAATTTAGTCATCCTTGATTTGTAGTCATCATGAAGCACTGAATTGTTGATCATTTTCATATATCATGTTGTTTCTTGCCTCCAAGCCTTTGCTCAAGCAAGTTCTTGTGCTTGGAATGCCTTTTCTTATCCTTTTTTCCTTTTTCAGTTTTTAAGATTCATATCAGGTGTAATTCAAGGAAGCCTTCCTTGAAATGTCAGGCTGGCTTACATGTACTCTTGAGAGGAGGTACCACCCTGTCTCTGCACTTTACAAACTTGTAAAATAATTCCTTTTGGGTTTTTTTATTTCACTAGAGAGTTGGGAATGTGTCTTACTCATTTTGGGAATATCTAAGCTTGGTACATAGGGAGCATTCAGTGAATGTTTTAATATAATAATGACGTGACCAAAGTCACTGAGCTTTGGAGCAGTAGAATTGTGATTTCAATCCGAATCTTCTGAGCATAAAATTTAACTCTATTTGCTAAACTGTGTTTTCTAGGAAAAGGTGGCTGTCCTTGAAATAATAGAAAAATAGTTCTTTTTATACAGGTAGAAGGTAGTTAATGCATTTTATAGTCCTGGGCAATTTGCTTCTTGTCATTTGTGAAGCTGCCAGTGCTGATGAGAACATGAGTTGTGCTTTTTTTTCTAAGACACTGGCTGAAATAGATGAACAGAGGGTTATTATAGTCAGCAATTTTTAATTTTGATGAAACTGGGCTCTTGTTGGGATAACACTGTTGAGATTTTTGTTGCCTCAAAGGGGAATGCTAGAATTCCAAACTGCTCATGAGGCATTCATGCTTTTGCTAGACACCTGCACTGCCAATAGCTTTATTTTTTTTTTTTTAACTTTTTAAATTTATTTTTGGGACAGAGAGAGACAGAGCATGAACGGGGGAGGGGCAGAGAGAGAGGGAGACACAGAATCGGAAACAGGCTCCAGGCTCCGAGCCATCAGCCCAGAGCCTGACGCGGGGCTCGAACTAACGGACCGCGAGATCGTGACCTGGCTGAAGTCGGACGCTTAACCGACTGCGCCACCCAGGCGCCCCCTGCCAATAGCTTTAAATTAAACTTTTGCTTGTGTGCCATTGGGAAATCCCAGGCTATTTTCAAGATATTGCAAAGATTTTCTTCCACTGATATGGAAATTGCTGTTAAGATTGAGTTAAAAATGATTAGTTTGTTAACATGATTTCTGATAGTTGGCCCCCATATTAGGTAAATTAATTTTGCATTTTTTTTAAATTTTTTTTTCAACGTTTATTTATTTTTGGGACAGAGAGAGACAGAGCATGAACGGGGGAGGGGTAGAGAGAGAGGGAGACACAGAATCAGAAACAGGCTCCAGGCTCTGAGCCATCAGCCCAGAGCCTGGCGCGGGGCTCGAACTCACGGACCGCGAGATCGTGACCTGGCTGAAGTCGGACGCCTAACCG